GATGACCTGCAAAGCCCCGAGGTGGAACTCGGGGTAGACACTCCGATGCTTAAGTCAGCAATAATCGGGGCTACCTTTAGGGCGGAGATAAAAAGAGCTTAGGGTTGGTTTCAATTACCTTTCTGAGGTGGCCTCTGGGGATATTTATAGGATCCAATGAGGAACCCACGTGGCATGCCAAGCAAGATAATCGGAGCCTGACGTGTCCCTCCAAACGGTTATTCCGGGACCGGGAATTTGAAGGGTATCCAGATGCACGAGCGTCCACCATACTTGCTGTGCCACTCATCGTAAGGGATCAGGTGCGGGCATGCTTATTGTCGTTGTCATGCAGCCATTTGAGCGGGAAGCTTTGGATTTATTCCTCACTTTGGTCATAAGGGAATTACTATAGTAGTCCGAGGCTTGGCACCTCGGACCTATCCTTACACTATTCTCCCCCCGAAGTCATTCACTTGTGAATGATGTTATTGGGGATGTTGAGGGGAGTGCATAAACAAAGAGAATGAGGATAGGTTGTGGATGTAAGAAGAAGAAATAAAGTATGTAACTTAAATGTAAACATAGCCGTAGCTAATAATGAAATATGTAACAGTGGACTATACTGGGAGTGTCTTAAATAGAATATGATCGGAGTGATCATGGCTGTGGTCGTGTAAAAATAATGACTAGTATTAATCGTGACTGCAGCCATAGTAAAAGACGATGACCGGAGTCTTGGTGGTCGTAGCCATAATAAAATATGATGACCGGAGTCATGATGGCCGGAGCCGAGGTAGAATATGTGACATGTAGTCACAGTAACCAGAACTGAAGTAAAACATGTGTCTCTGTGGCCGGAGCCGAAGTAAAACACAATGTCAGTTTAAAAGTGTAATTGTATAAGTAAACAAAAGTGCTGAGCTAGGCTTAAATATAAAAATGGGAATCAAAATGGCCGGAGCCATAATAAAATATAATGACCGGAGTCATAATGGCCAGAGCCTAAATAAAATGTGTGATATAGGAGCACTGTGGCCGAAGTCGATGTGAAATGTAATGCAGCATTATTGTGGCCGGAGCCGAAGTGAAACACTTGACAAAATTGAGAAAAGTAAACAAAGGTGTAGAAATGGTCATGAGTGGGTTCGTTCTGAAAAATCTGACAAAGGGGTAACACGTGGTGTGACAGTTGTCCTTGAAATGACGTGCGCAATAAATGCGGCTGTAAAAAGATAACTGCAACAGTTAAACGAGCGAATTAAAAAATGAACCGTCAAGTTCCAAACGGTACCGTTTGGGATTGCCCGTTGAATTCCAAACGGTGTCAACAGGGACCGTAAGATTAAACGAATCTCAGCCGTTGAGATCTAATTTTGCCTAGAAGTATAAATAGGCATTTTTTTTTCTGCAGAAAAAGGTTTACTTGCATTTCTTTTCCTGCAAAACTTCTGCGAGAAACTTTACTGTGCGTTTCCTGTGCGTAAACTGCAGCATCAACTGGGGAACTCTAAATCAAGTCTTTCGAAACCGAGATCAGGTAATGTAGACAGAACTCTAATTTTAAGTTAATTGAAGTGTCATTCTCCTTTCTCCCTTTCTGTGATTGATTTAGAGTTCTTTGAAGGAAGTTAGGGTTAGAGATGAAAGGGATTTTGAATGTGTAATAGAGGGTTTTTTTTTTTTTTTTTAAATGGGTCCTGACTTCATTCCTCCCCCCGACCTCGTGCAGAGTTTGAGAAAATGTCCACAGAAGGAACAGAAAGTGTGATTGGGAGTGAGGTGATGCCTTTAGACTATGGGGGTATGGACTCAGAGAGTAGTCCATCCCCATCTAGTTCGGAGAAGACGGTGGAGGGGATGAGAGAGGATGAGGTGGTAGAGGTTAGGAGGAACGAGGTGGTAGGGGTTGAGGGAGATAGCATACCCATTACGGTAGTAGAAGTAGAGGGTAGAGGGGAGAGGGATTATGATGAGAATGCAGAGATAGTGGAGGAGGTGAAACAGTACCGATCTGAACTAAGGACCAGGGATAGCCTGGGTCACTTAGTAGAAAATTACGAAATCTCATCCCGAGTGCTAGTTAGGCCAGCTGGGGTAGAGGAGAGGGCATGCTCTGCTCCTCAGGATCATTGGATGCCCGTATACTCCCATTATTTGTATGTTGGCCTTAAGTTTCCAATTCCAGAGTTGCTTGTAGGTTTACTATTAGATTACAACATAGGGTTGACACAGTTGGTCCCCAACGCAATGAGGGTAATAATAGGTTTTTTAGTTTATTGCCGAGCTCAGGGGATTAGTGTACCAACTGTGAATATGTTTAAATACTTTTTTGCTTTAGAGGAAGTATGAGAGATAAGGGGTGGTATTATTTCACCCCTAGGGTAGCTAAGAAGGAGAGTAGAATTTTATTCACTACGGGTCCTTCATCCATTAAGGGATGGAAGGAAAAATTCTTTTTTGTGGATGACACGGAGTGGGGTAAGGGGGATGCCGAGGTGAGGGCGTTAGCCTCCTGGAAGGCCAAAAGGGCCAACCAGAATAGGTTTAGTTTAAATGAGGATGAGGAGGAAGAAGTGGGGAAGTTGGTGAGGAAGGGGGGAGATGTGTTGAACATCATGGATCTCACCAGCGCAGCATGCATAGAGGCTGCTGAGCTCTATGGGCCAAGCGCTTTGAGTGAAGGTTTGTTTATCATGCACTGTAGCGTTAAATGTAGAATATAAAATTGTGACTAACATTGTGTTTCTTGCTTTGCAGCTGAAATGGACCAGTTTTTGAACACTGCTGGAGGAGCGCCCATCCCCAAGAAGCCAAGGAAGAAGTCAAAGACTTCAACCAAGAAAGTGGATGAGGGGAGGACTAGGAAGGAGGTAGTGCCCGTGGCTTCAGCTGAGACGGAAGAAGAGGTGCCAGCGCTGAAGAGGAAAGGTTGGGAGGAGAGGAGGGCACTACAGAAAAAGCAGAAAGTGGTGGAGGAGGAAGAGGGGAATGGGGTTCCTGAGTTCGTACCTCAGCCTCCTCCTGTTGAGCTGAACCCTGAGCTGAGACAGTTGGAGGAGGGGGCTGAGGTACGGGCTCCTGGTAAGGGAAAGGGCCTTGTTTCCCCAGTGGTGCCTCAGAGCAGCCTGTTCGAGGGAAATAACGTAATGGGGGCTAGGTGGTTCATCAACAGCACCTTCCCCGAAGTGGACAAGCGCAACGCGCGGGAGGAAGCTCTGAGGTACGGGGGAGCATCTGTTGTGAAGCATGTTCTTGAGGTACGTTAAATTAGTGTTGCTGTTTATTTATTATGTTTCTTTTTCTCTTCTTTCCCTTTGAACTTCTGCTTTGATTTGCAAAGCGCGAGCTGGGTGAATGGTCTAGCCCAGGAGTTCAGGGAGAGTATAAAGTAGCGCGCACTCTTGCAGAGGCAGTTTGACTAGCTGCAGAAGGAGAAGGAGGAGATGGAGAAGAAAAATAAAGATCTGCAAGAGTCGTTGGACGAGGTGGTTCCAACTCTGAAGCAGTTGGAGCAGGAGAGAGCTTCCCTGAGCACTAAGCTCGGCTTTGAAGAGAGCAAACGAAAGATCTCTGAAAGCGAGCGTGAAGCTCAGGCGGAAGAACTAAAGTTGACGAAGGAGGCTTTCTTGGAGCTGAAGGGGAATGTGCAGACCTTGGTGCACAATGGGATGAAGGAGCACATCAGCAACTTCATCAGCTCCAGCTCGTTTGACAACATCGTCAACTTATACCGGCTGCCGACTGCCATCATTGCATTCACGGACTGCAGGAAGAAGGTGAAGGTAGAATATCCCGAAGTGGATATTACGAAGATCACCTTCGGAGAGCAAGAAGAAGGGGTGGAGGAAGATGGTGAAAGCATGTCAGCAGACTTCCGTCCTCAGATCAAACTGAGGTGGGAGGATGATGCAAATGGGCGTGCTGTTTTCCCTCCACAGTTCGACTTCGAGTTCGTGGCAGTGGAGGAAGAAGGGGCAGAGGTTGAGGAAGATGAGATGGAGGCAGGAGCGGAGGGAGCTGAAGTGGATGAGAACCAACCAGTTCCAGAAGTAGAGATTCATCCAGTTCCTTCTGACGATGATTAGCCTCCTCTGCCAGACGAGCAGCAGCCAACACAACCACCTCCTCCAGCTGAGTAGGAGCCAATGCAGTCACCTCTCCAGCAGAGAACTTTTGTTTTTTGTTTTTTTGTTTTTTTTTTTTTTTTGTAAGGGGAGCTCGTGGGCCCCCCCATGTGGGGCGCATTTGCGTATTTGGCCTCAGTGCTCTCAAGCAACCTGAGGTAGCCTCCCCAGGGATCGAACTCGAGGTCCCGTAGGACTCCTCCCTTAAGAGGATTTCACGGGTGACCCTAGTACCACTTGAGCTGGCTGGCCTTTTTGCCAGGGGTACCTCGTGGGGCCGTTCCTGGGCTTGGCGATTTGTTTATTTGGCCTCAATGCTCTCAAGCGACCTGAGGTAGCCTCCCCAGGGATCGAACCCGAGGTCCCGTAGGACTCCTCCCTTAAGAGGATTTCACGGGTGACCCTGGTATCACTTGAGCTGCTTGAGAGCACTGAGGCCAAATACGCAAATGCGCCCCACATGGGGGGGCCCACGAGCTCCCCTTACAATTTTTCGAGCTCAAATTTTAACTTAAACTTGGGCTTGATTCATACTCTACCTTGAGTCGAATCAAGCTAAACTTGAGTTCAAATCAAGTAGCTCAATCATTTATTGCCCTTACCATGACTCTTGATAATAATAAAAAAAGAGAAAAATATCCCAAATCTTTGTTTTTAGTAATTAGATTTTTTAACATGTGCTTTATTAATGTAATTAATGCACTCTTCCGACCTTAAATTGTACTCTTCGTCTAAAAATAATTTACTTTTTTGTGCTAAATAGGATAATATATAGACTTCTTTTATTTAGAAATTGTCCTAGGTTAATTTTTTTTTTTTTTGTATTTTAAAGAAACTAATTTTTTTCATTTTAGTCTTATTATTAGTCTTTGATTTTCAATTATCCATTTTATTGAGTATTATAAAAAAAGTCTTTCTTTATTTTTATCTATTTTTAAGAGTAATATAGATAAAACATGATTGATCTCTAAATCCTTAATTTGAATATAAATTATAAAATATCTATTATCTTAGAACAGATGGAGTGTAGAGAAAAAAAAAATGCTTCCTTTAATTTCACTACCAATATCATGTGGATTATTTGAATTGGTGAGTTAATTAAACAATGATTAACTTTTATTAAAAAATAATTAAGGAA